GGTTCATCGTACAGACGTTTATCAGATAGATTTTATCGGTTGCCCGAGCAGGCGTTAATCCGAAAAACTTTGGCTTAAGAGACTTACATGTTTTTTCCACTAGGAGCTAACAAATCCAGTGGGTGGTGGAGGCGGAAGTTCAAACACTAATTCTGGAGAATTCTACTACGGGAGATGCAGTTATTTAGAGAGATGTCGCGAAACATGAACACTATACATGTAGCCAAAGAAGAAAAGTAAACACCTACATAACTGGTGTTATCAGTCGGCACACACTGGGGAAAAGAGGGCGGTGGTGGTATACTGACGATACTTGTACGATGAGACAGTGAAAGGCAGAAGTGAATAACCACACCTCAATTCTCAAACTGGTTGTTGTGATATATTCTCGGCCTCAGAGACCACATTGCCTACATCGTAGAAAGTAGTAAATACAGTATTGTCATTGGTAGTTTAAATCACATATATTCGCACCATCTTGGTCTGTTGTGTGGAACAGAATAGAGTTCTGGCTTTCATTTAATACTTCAAACTGTAATATACATAGGAATTAGGTTAAAAAAAAAAAAAAAAAACATCAATACATTACATACAAACTTTTTTTTTTTTCAGAAATACATTGATGGAGGACTTTCAAATAACATGCCCATATTCGAAACAGGAAGAACAATTACAGTTTCACCTTTCGATGGGACATCTGACATTGGGCCAAAAGCTGGCCAAGAAGCTGAGAAAAAGGCCCATTTAATCAACATACAGAATCAGGACATACAGGTACTGGGATTGTGTCTTGTATTAATTGTAGTCTCTTACATTATGTTAGTATGTTTTCTCATAATGACTTAGTATATGACGTGTAATGAAAACAATCTCTACAAGAAGACATTAAAAATATATATTTCAATATAAACTGTGAGCTACTATATAAGGGTCCATTTCTTTCACATAGGGCATTTATTGACATTGCCCGCTCAGTCCCTTGAAAAGCAACTGTCTCTAAGTGCATCTTACTGCTCTAATGAGAAGTTTATTGTGTCTTATCTTAACATGGGAGACGTCAGGACCTTGCTTGGTCAGTCTTTCCTCCCTCATTATCTGGTCATACCTCTGCATCTCCCTAGCATATCATAAACGACATCACTATATTACTGTGCATTCCCATGCGTGTTTAAACATGCGATGCAGCAGACAATCCAAAGATTCGCTACTGATAATTTCCATGTGAGGCTGGTAGCAATGTCCCCTGTCTTGTCCTGGAAGACGGCATATGCATTTGGTGTTCAAACAATACATGTTGTGGGCAAATATTACTGGTATACATTCAGCTTATGCCATCCCTTTACATAATGTCGTAATTACTGAGAAGGATGGGCGTGACTGGTTGGCACATACTGCTCTTGTCACGTGCCTAGTTAAGGATTTCTCCTAATGAACCAACAGCACTCTGAAATAGTATAAATGTTGAAATGTCGGCTCGTAATGGTCTGGGGCAACACAAGTTATGGCACTACAGAATATATAATCCTAGGCGCAACTTGGCCGGACATCCCCACTACTACAAGAAAATAGCTCCCAGACTATGATAGTTTACTATCATAGTCATGTTAACACAGAATAAGCTCTAATATATTATTACATACACTCCAGACAGCTAAGAAGATTGAATGATGGACACCAAATTCAATATTGAAAAATTCCAAAGACATGTAATAAGCTCAACATATACATCATGAATCAGGAAAAGGAATTCAATGGAATCAGTGACATTAAGAAACCACAGACATGTTCGATATGAGTGCCGCTGAATTCCTAGAAAGCGCCTGTCTCATCATGGCTTATGTGAGAATAGTGAATCCAGGAAATAGGCACTGAGTAATAATGAACTTATCTTTCTCTGGGTCTGGTCCACAGCAACACTTGCATCACACCAACTAGGACATAAGGAACAAGGTCACTGGACTGGTTGGCTCCTCAGCATCTCAGGAACTGTACTAAGAACAAAGTGTCAACTACTGTCTGAGAGTTAATTTAGCATCTCTACAGTTCACCACAAATGGCAGACTCTGTCCGGCTTCTCCAGGTGGCTCCCTGGATATGGAGTTCTCCCACCGAACTAATGGCTGCTACTGAGTTGTCTAAACAGAGTCGTCAACAGGTCCCAATGCTGCTGGTTGCAAATAAGAGTTTGTGGCATTCAAGCTGGAGTCTTCCAAGCTGGTTGCTTTATGGACTGTTGATTAACTGAAGGGTTCCAAGTAGATATCACCCTGTGAGGAAAGGGAACACCAGGATTAGCAGTCACCTCAACTCATATACCCAGTACCTTCTTAACTGCATCCATATATATATATATATATATATATATATATATATATATATATATATATATATATATATATATATATAGCTCAGAGGACAGCTCTCAGGATAAGGAGAATGTACTAGCCTCTATGCAACAGTGTCAGTCAGTCAGTATAAGAGACATGAGACAAGTTCCACATTGGAGAAGGACAGTCTCTCAGATAGAGAACAACAACTCTCTACTTCTATATCTGCACCTCTAGTTACACAGACTACTACTCACACAAATATGTATATTATGTTTCCCACAAGTTGAATCTATCCTTCCAGATCACCCAGTGTTGTACATGAGTTCCTGTAAACACCCCATGACGTCACTTTGCCTGTCCCCCGCCTCTCGGTGAAACTCTGTGGACCTAATTGTTCTGCCGGCTACTAGATCGGCATCCATTTTCACAGCTAGTTAGTTAAGGAACGATTGAACTACTAGATTAATCATTGATACTAGTGCTGGGGTGGGTAGTGCACACAACCTCAGCTTGAAAATGGGAAGGTTTGATTTAGGCGGGCGTGAGCATTTTGACACCAAGAAAAGTCTCGCTCTGTAATGCCTCATATCCGAGTCATCCCTCTCCTCAGCAGCGGGGTAAATATATAGATATATAAATGGTACTCGTAAACTATAAACGACTTACCCAAGCTCAGGATTCCTACAGGTAACAAAACTGGTACTTCGTTCTGGACAGAATTAAACACAAAGTCAACCCACTTCTGTTCTACTCGGAAGCCGGGCACAAAATAAGAGGGAATGGGTAGCGTCACTTTCACAGAAGTAGTGCGAAAATTCTTACGCCGGGGTCGTGAATCGTCCCATTGGATTAAGAGTAATAACACAAAGAATCTCTAATTTCCAACTGTAAGTTTAAAAAATGTAGACATATCAAGAGATTCAGAACATAAAGAAATATTTCATCCGTCGTATGAAGGTGTAAATATACACAGGGACTATATACCCACCGAACGGGTCTATATTTGAATGTGACCTCGTCACCAGGGGTGACAGAGTCACGAATAGCTCAATGTGTAGGGGTGGTTACGGCCATTTCATGACACTGGCTATAACTTATAATTTATTGGTAATTTTGAAAATTAAGAAATCGCAAGAAGTTTCTTCCTTTTCTTTCGTTTGCTTGAAAAATAATATCTATATCTGCAATGTTGTCTCTAGTATGAATTTCACTGTCTTTTGTAATTAACCCGTTAAGTTTGACGTGCACTTATGCTACAAGTGTAATATATTACACAGAATTGAAACACTAACAAACGAGTAATCAAAATAGTGTTTTCGTTTCTTTTTCCTCCCCACAGCTGTATTCTTTTTTTTTTCTAGTGCCCCCATCTGCTATTTCGGCCATCCTGAAAATTTCACCGAGGCAAAAACCTCCCCTTTGATTGTCCCAGCTCTTACGACCCCCCCCCCCCCCCTCTTCCCCCCCCCCCTCCTTTTTTTCCAGTAGGCAATATCGCCACTTTGGGAATCTGTGCTTTAGGAGCTTTGTGTGCAGCTGATTCTCAATCTAGCGAAAATCTTATGTGAATCTGCTCCATTCTCAAATGTGGTATTATATACTGTACTTAGTGACATATAATCGCTTTAGCAATGATCACTGTGTACTTTTTCTGCCTCTCAATACAGATCCATCTGTACATTTGATCACATCAGTTGGGCGGGAATAGTCATGCATCAATTGCTGAACTTCTGCTTCTGCAGTGGACGCTGGCACTAACCGCCCAGTGTGATTAGCACTCAACACAAATTTGATTTGTCCTCTGACATCTTAACCCACTTCTTTCTTCGCCTAGTGTTTTCAGTCTTACACACATCTCTGTGTCTTATTCTAGCCCATCCAAGACTTTTCTCTTATCAGCCTATAGCTCGTGACTGATCCAGAGCTTCATGAAGAGGGTGTTTTGCTTCTGCAGCTACGCTGAGTTATGATCTCGCGTGCTGCACTTTTAGCCCGTCTCTGTGTAGGATGGTCTCATCCTTCACTCCAGCATTGTGTAATTGGCTGATAAATATGTTTGTGGTACGAGAATGTACTTTCTGTTAACACTTTATTGCCATTATCTTTGCCTGCAGCCTTTCCTGAAGCTAATTCGCCAATTTGCTAACTTCTACCATTTGTGGAAGTTTGCCCAAGTGACAAAAGTTGATAGAGTCCTCATGACATTAAGAGCACCATCTGCAGGCTCGTCTCGGTTTAGTAAAGTTTCACATAATGCTCCACACATCTATCCATCTACCAGGGGCGATGACAGAAAGGAAAAATTAGGTGTGGGGGAGGTGGACGCTTAGCCCTGTAACTAACTTTCTAGAGCTTAGCAGCACCATCAATTTTTTTTTCAAAGGAATCATTCGTTTTTAGCACTACTACAGTATTACTGAAAACAAAATGCTTTTAAAACATTTTTTTAAAAATGAACATTTTTATTCGAATTAACTTTTATATCTCTGCTGCAGTAGCGCTGAATAAAGGACACATGTTCACGCTTTTAGGCGTATAGAGCATACAGGGCTAGACCAATATTTTATAGACCAATCGGCACAAAATGAGTGATGTGGTACTGAGTACCGTTGCGTACCCGTACACTTTGTGGTGGAAATATGGGGGTGACTGCAGTCAAGCTAATACAAGGAAATACAGGGAAATTTGACTCAAACGCTCAACAAAATGGGGAAGCAGAAAAACGTGAACAAAACAACACAACGTAACGTTTCGGCCGGGCAGCCTTTTTTAAACATAAGTGAACTACTCAAACGTAACATCAAGGATAGGAGAGTATGTATATCTCTAAGGGGTGACGTGAGCAACGTTTAAAAAACTGTGATGTAGAATAAATGAAATTTAAACAAATAAACGATGGTTAAAAAATATAGTCACGCACACAAAAATAAACAGTAGTATTTTTAACATATAATATAATACTGGGAAATAAAAGAAATACCAATGGTAACAATACATAAATGATACTGATAAGAGATAGAATAAAGTAATAATATGAAAAAAAAAAGAAAATAAAATAAAATAATTAACATTTAAAATGGGATAAGAGTAGAACTATTTAGATGAAGGTATGCTGGATGTAGATACCACCTGGACTAAGAACGCATAGGCTGTGGCTGAGACGATTTTCAAAAGCGAGGCGCGTAGTATGATCGACAGAGCAAGATTTTAATGCTGTGACAGATATATCATCTTTACATCAGAGCTATTAAAATGGAGAGGGATTGGTTTAAGAGTCTTCTTGTCAATATCGGAGAGGTGTTTCCGGAAACGATCAGCTAGCTTCCTGCCAGTTTCCCCAATGTATGCCTTGCTGCATCGTTTGCAGATAATTGCATAAATTACGTTGAGGGATTCGCAAGTGAAAGGTTCCCTAATTTGGAAAGAACCATTAAGGAAACTGACCGAAGAAGTCTGGACAACGAAAGGGCATGTCTTGCGAGTATTCAGTAGTCCCAAAAGGAAGTGCTGTGTGGATCGGTGGGAGTTGGCTTCGGACAAGTCTATAAACTAATCTAGGTTTCTCACTAAAGATAATCTTGGTGTCCGGATCAGAGCGGAGGATGTCTAAAGGACGAAAGAATACGTTGAAAGCAACCACATTGTTAGGGTGAAAAGTCAAAATCAATTTAGGTTCATCAATGGTGGAATTACGTTTGGTGGGGGAATCATCTCTCCTGGTGATTGCCAAAACTTTGTTTAGAGCCCCTTGTAAAATGTGTTCCGGATAGAAATGGGCACGGAAGAAATCATAAAGTTCAACTGATTTATCAAAGAAGTCAGAATCATCAAAGCACAACCTGCGCAATCGAAGGAGCTGATGATGAAGCATAACTCCAACCCGTGGAAAAGGGCCTCTGTAGGGGAGCCAGGCGGAGAAGGCTTGGCCACAAGGGTGGCGTCAAGCATTTTTTAAATGACTGATTGACTTTCAACCCCACCAGGACCCCACAACCAGCAAAAAACACCCGGTGACACAAAGTGCCACCATTCAGATGGGAAGTGCCTGTGCAAAAGTCCTAAAAAGTCTGTTCAACTCCTTTTAGGGCCCTAGTCAACAGTTGGGGTGGGGCTTTAAAATAACAAAAATAATTTTAAAAGTGGGTTTATTCTTAAGTGTAATGATCCGTTATACTTTCATTCTGGTTTAGTTTAATTATAAATGAAAAATTGTTTTTCAAATTAATTAATGAACACAATGAAAGGACATTCTTTTCATGAGGAGTTTGTGCATCTACCGTTACAAATCTAACTATTATGATAACACGAGCATCTAATTGTATATATTTAACTCATTCTGACAAAACCGCACCGCCATGCTTTCTGTTTCCTTGTTGTGGAATCTATTATTCTTTTCTTTTTAATCACATTTTCTTATGTTAGAGATGGGAGCTTGGAGGTCTTGCCACATACTCAGCTGAGGCGTGGGGGTCTTGTCATATACTTAGTGGTTGGATGGGCTGGGTAGGGCGCTTGTCATATTCTTAAGGTGGCACGATCTAAAAAAAATGTTAGAAAGTCGACTTTTCTGAACACTGCCTATATAAAATTAATTGGATTGATTGGCACCTTTCCGTCTTTCCAGTGTTATGACAGTGTTATATTGCGCTATAAGGAGGCATGAGACTCACAGCCCATGGCGATGGCGAGTGTGATTAGCAAGACACGCACGTGTCAAGAAAAGTCTTCCACAATGATAGTGTGGGATTTCAGGACCATTGTTGTCAACATTTGTGTTTAATCTGTTTCTTTTCAGACGCTCAGCTCTTATTCTTTCTGCAGTAATTTCTTCCTTCACTCTCGTTTCCTTCCTGCTTTGTCCTTTCCACACAACACAGTCCATGGCATTTTGTTCCTATGAGTCCACGTAAATAACATCTTTATATCGTAGTAAAGGTCGTCCTCGGCATCTTCTTTCTGTTTTTAATTCACCATAAAGGATGTCCTTAGAAACTCTGAAATCATCCATTCTCCAGGTGTGACCCAGGCATCTGAGCCTTCGTAGATTGAGCATGGAAAAGACTGTTGTAGTACCTGCTTTTTCCAGTACCTCAGTGTTTGTGATTTTGTCCTGCAACTTAATGCCAATGTTCTTCTTAGGCATTGCATGTGAAAGCTATTTAGCCGTCTCTTCGGCTGAGATTGCTGAGAAAACAAGCCTGTTAGACAAGGGTTTTTGTTTTAATTGTGAGCTCTCTGTTCTCCCAAACTCTCTTTGTCAATCTGCTTATTGTTGTTGCTGCCATGCCCTTCCTGATGTTTATTTTTCGGTCCAGCCGTAATTTACTATTCACTGTGGAGCCTAGATAAGCAAAATGGTCAATGTGTTTTAATTGTGAGCTTTCTGTTCTCCCAGACTCTCTTTGTCAATCTGCTTATTGTTGTTGCTGCCTTACCTATCCTGATGTTTATTTCTGGGTCCAGCCGTAATTTACTATTCACTGTGGAGCCTAGATAAGTAAAATGGTCTATTGTCTCAAGCTCTTCACTGTCAATGTAGACTGTAGGTCTGTCATTAACAACTTGCACCATAACCTTTGTCTTCTTTTTGCTAAAATTCACAGCATGCATCATCAAAGGCAGATAGTAAACATGCAGCCCCTCCTCTGAATGGGTGGTTATTGTGGCATCATCTGCAAACAGCAGCTCTCTGATAAGTACCTTTCTTATCCTGGTTTTGGCCTTCAGCCTGCAAGCATTGTAAAGGCAGCCGTCAGATCAAGAATGAATAAATATACCACCCTCCTGATTTCGAAAGGCATGTGTCAAAAAAAGTAAAAAGTGTGTTCCAAAGAGAGTAGGAGCGATTACATACCCCTGCTTCACTCCATTTTTGATTACAAACTCCTCTGATGTTACACCATTGAAGTTTATTGTACCTTTCATACCTGTGTGGAAGGACTCAATAATGCTCAGTAGAGTAAGTGGACATCCAATCTTCTTTCCCTGAATAATATAATGTCTTAAAAATTACAACTTTATTAAAATTCTCTTTTAGCTGCTCCGAATTCACAACATTCGTTGAATTAACTTAGAATGAATTACTTACTGTCCGGATATCTTTCCGTCTACAATAAGCTCATGCAAAATGCCGAAAAGATATTTCTTCACTGTCCAAAGCATTTAAAACATTTTAAACATAAACACAGGTCCTTATTTTTAATATATACATCTGGCCGTCTCAATTTTTTTTTTTTTTTTTTTTGTGACGCATTTAAGTCATTGCTGTTTCTGAACGATATGCTGAACTTGTCTCGAATATTTTGACAGTCAACTGTTGACCTAATTGAAATCTGAACAAAGAAGACACCAAAATTAATTGCACAGTTTATTGCCTGGCATATTTCGCTGTATCTCGTCAGGTGCATACTACAGTAACGATTACATAAATGAAGCAAATAAGTAAATCCTTTTTAAATGAAGTATAATTTCAACAACGATCAAACATAACTATCTGTTATTACCAGGGCAGCCGAAAAGACAGAACCATATCTTTCTGTATACAGAGTTCTTGGCGCAGGTGACGAATCGCAGAAACTTCGAGAAATCTTAGCGTTCTGCCACTGGTTGACGTATGAAAGATTTGAAATGCGTTGTCCTTAGTTACCGCGTGTCCAGATTTTAGAAGATGACGTGCAATTGCAGATGGTTGATCGTTTAAATGAAATGTTTACTCTGTGTTTGGAGCAGAACAATGAACAGGCAAATAGAAAATCTAATTTTAGTCTCTGGAAACGTAGACACACAACAACAACAAAAGAGTTTATTTTATGGAAACAAAATCAAACAAATATAGACTTTCTGAAAAGACTGCGAAAAAGAATTACTAAAAGAAAAAAAAGGAGTGAGAGAGAGCGCGCCAGTTCAGGTATTTTTACCACATTAAAAAACATAGTTCGCCTTTAAAAATTATGCTGGAGGAACTGTTGAGGGCAAGAGGTAGACAGCGATACAATTGGGGGGGGACATCAATAGATGGATTAGCAGCAGACTAAGAGAGTGTCCAGCCAAGACAAGAGACAAGGCGTTTTGGAGATCCATTGCAGCCAACCTTCTTTGTGGAGAAGGCAACTGGCTGATTTAATAGACAAATTGTCATTTAGTGTATCCATTGATTTAATAGACACATTGCCTCTTAGTGTAGTCAGTCAAACGTAGGCTGGCTTTACTTTCAAGGACATTGACTGATCCCCATTTTAAGCTTATGTCAGTCTGTAGAACAAGATGAATTTAAAATGTCTGCATTTCAAGATTTTAACACGTAACTACAGCTTCTCGCGTAAAATTGTATCTGTCTTATATTTAACTTTCTAACTGTATTGTGTATTATTTATTTTGTTTCCTATTTATGTCATTCATTAATTACACCATTTTTTTAGCATTTATATAATAATTATGTGCATCTTATTTTAAATTAATCAGTAATGTTTACTATGTCTTTTACCTATTAGGTCAGTGTTAACAATACAAGGAAAAGCACACAGGCCTTCTTCCCACCTAAACGTCAATCACTGGAGGAATACTTTGTAAAGGGACGATACGACGCTAGCCGCTTCCTTATTCGAGAGGGTCTTTATGAAATATGCACAGCCACCCAGAAGAAAGTTATAATGTATGAATCGTCAGTTTAATAGAGAATGTTGCCAGTCATTTTTCTAGTAATGAAAGATAAACACAAATTTTACTTCTGTCTGCTCAATCATGAAAATATTTGGTTACAATCATAAATCGAAGTAATTATACAATTAGAAAACAGTAGGGATCAGCTATCATGAGGGTGGACACAATAATTTGGAGACATCATGAGGAAAACAATATATAAGCTAAGAGGATGGGCGAGGGATTGAGTACCACTCCTGTGTATCAGACATGATGGAGATAACATTCTAAAAAAGACCTACTACATGATGAGGATGATGCCTAGATAACCGTGCCTGCACATGCATCTCTCTATTTGTTGGCAAATGCACACACAAGGTATTTGATCACTTAGTTAATTTTACGTTTGGAATGAATTTGTGATTAGTTATTTTTATAAGTGGAAACATTTTATATTCATCTAACAAATGTTAACATTATTGATAAGCTTTGTTACCTTCTGACATGGATATATTTATAATCGGCCAATTCTTCACATGAAAACATTACATGTTTTTATTTTAAGTTTAATATTTGGTTTCCACACATTTTCATGTACATGCGTCTGCGTAGTCTCGAGGCATGGTGTCCGCCTCGTGTGTGAGAGGTTCCGGGTTCAATCCCCGGTAAGGGCTGGTATTTGTTCACGTGGACTTGGACTTCTAGTAATTCTTCCTGGTCTCTGTGTAGTGAAATCAGATGCCTGTGTGTATTATTGCGCACATAAAATAATCTCTTGGCAGTTGGAAATCGAAAAGACTAGCCTAACGGCGCTGTCCAGGCAAAATTTGGAGTTTAAAATCTACCCAAAGTATTTTAGGATCCTCGCCGGTGCTACAGAGCCTGTGCATTGTGCTGAGCTTCTTCGGACTCGGATTTGAGTTAACAGAAGAACGGAGCTCTAATGCGTTACGACCCTTGTGCCATGATGTTGATCTGTGGCTCAAACCTCAAACATGTTCATGTACAGTGAAAATTCATCTAGCCTTTTATGTTGAAATCTGCGTCAGTCCCCCCCCCCCCCCCCATCTTTGTCTACATACTGCGCAAATAGGTATGACTCCACCTCCTGGAATAAGAAATCATTAAGAACAATTAAATTACTTTTGCTTTTTCTTGGTATTTATTTATTTTTTTTTTTTTTTTTTTTTTTTTTTGAGAGAGAGATAATTGTTGTCTTGCTTCAAGTATGTTAAATCTATCTTGTATATGATTACGTAGTGGGATAGAACAGAAATATCATCAGCGAAGTCCAGTCCGTCAAGCCGTTTTGTAGGGTCCAATGGATTCCATTCATGGTGGTAGCTGTTTTCAAAATTCACTCTATTGCAAGTAAAAATCAGTAGGGGCAACAAAAGATGTATTTGTTAGTTTTCCCTTGTGAGGAACTCGACATTTCATTTCTTTTTAAGTTGCTTTTGCAAAGTTTGTTATTTTCTGTTGGATATTTCCCATCAATTCTGTCAAATGCTTTCTTAAAGCCTACGAATCCAATGTGAAGTGGTGACTTTCATTCAATGCTTTGCTCTATTATTACGTGTAGTGAGGATGTTTGGTAAGTACAGGATTTGTTTGGCCGAAAACTTGCGTTTTCATCTCTTTAGCTATTTATCAATAGCATCTTTTAATCTTGCCAAAATAACCCTACTTAATATTTTTCCAGAAACTGACAGCAACATAATTCATTTATAGCTTTTACACTCCTTCAAGTCATCTTGAGCATTTTCACAAGACATCATTCTCTCCTATCTGCTAGTATTTCTTTGGTTTTCTGTACATTACTGAATAATTTATATAGCAGTTTCGTGGATGTGTTTATATTAAAATTAATAACGTATTGGAAAACCATCTAAACCGGCAGTTTTACCTTCATTCAGTAGATTGATAGCTTTTCTAGTTTTTCTCTTATACAGCATCTTACAGTTGATTTCCAGTTTCTTTCCTAAAAAATAGATATCTGGAGGGTTATCTGTGACTGGTTATTCAGAATTACTTCAAAACTTTCTGCCCATCTGTCTATTTGATCCTTTGTTGGTGAGAACCTTCCCTTGACTTTTTTTTTTTTGGGTAATAATCCTGTTGGTTGACTATATTTATCCACTAATTTCCGTATGATGCTGCATGGGTTTTCGAGGGTTCCTTGTTGCGTTGCCTTTCTTCAATATTTTTAAAGGGTTTCATGAGATATCCACACCTTATGTTTGTATTCCAGTTTGCGAAGGACGTCTACACAGTATTTATTCCAAAGTCCTATAATATTTCACCAGCAGATTTCAATACTTACCTCTTCATATAACTGTTGTAGCAACTGGTACTTATTTCAGATTAACCGAAAATTTTCCCCTATTTTTTTTCTCTCTGAGATATGCTAGTACTTTAATTCTAGGCGACCACATCTCGTCGGCTTTGAAATTTAGTAGGGATTTTCAGGTACAGTACCATATTATAGGAGCGTTATGGTTATGATGAGCGTTTAATTAATAATGACTACTACTCACCCTAATCCTACACCTCCCCCACCCTATACTATAAAGCGTTCTGTGGACTTCCCTACCACCCTGTCTCGGAGCAGACAGGATGTGGTCGCCTAAAATTAAAGTACCGATATCCTACACTATATTCGTTTTTATGACTGTAAGATGTTATAATTCTCTCATTTATTAGTCAGTTGTACTAACCAACAGATAGTGATCAGTAAATACATCAGCAACTCCAAAAGCCATAAGATCGTACGTTGATTATATAATTTTGTTGTTGTGTCGTTTTATTTTTACACTAGCGGTGCGCTGCCACGCGTTGCTGTGGCCCCGAATGGTGGAATGCAAAAGAAGGAAAGTAGCTCTCAACTAACAGTGTCTGTCATAACCCTAAACCCCCTTCCCTCTCCCCTCCACCCAGTCATTTCTCCCTCTCCGAAGAATTGAAAAATCATCCCTGGCGAAAGTATTAAACTAGAAATAGTTAAGAAATGAGAACTTGAAAATAATGTTTTAAGCTCTCTTAGGTAACAGTGTCTGGCATAACACCCCCTCCCCCCCCCCCCCACCCCCACTTCCCCCAATAATATTTCCCACACCCAAGGAATAAAAAATCATCACTTGGTAAAATTATTAAAATGGAAATAGTTAAGAAATGATAGCTTTAGAATAATGTTTTAAGCTCTCTCAGTTAACAGTGTCTGCCATCAACCCCCCCCCCCCCCCCCCCCCCCCCCCTTTTCCACTAATCATATCATCCTCGCAGAAGGATGGGAAAGTCATCATCTGACGAACTATTGTACCTAAACTGAGCTTTGCATCCGTGTCCACCCAGAGACAGATGGATAGCATTAATGTGTAATGAGAAGTAAATGCCAGTGCAACAGCTACCACATCACCCATCCAGTACCAGTACTACTGCTACCGCTGCCACCACCACCTTCAGAACAAAAACTAAAAACAGTCACTACTACATCACACAAGCGATAAACAGCCGGTGACACAAAGTGCCACCATGCGGATGAGGATCACCTGAGGAGAGGTCCGAGAAACCCCTCTCAGCTGTTAGGACATTTTTATAGTGAGTAAAGGACCCTTTTCCACGCCTTTAGGTATATAATAGGCAATAAAGGGCTAGATATACATTTTTATAGACCGATCAGCACAAGATGGATGATGTAGTCAGCATCACGCCAACCGACTTTACTTTCTGGGACTGCATCCGGTACCCACTCAAGGCTGGGTCGACCTGGGGGTCAAGGTCATTTTTGAAACTTCCGATCCGCGCGATTTATTTAACACAACCTACACAAAGTAAGGACGAAGCAGCACCCCGTCTAAGGAATACTCAGTATCAGTTACTGATCCTGACAGAACAGTATTTCTAGTAACAACACATCTAGTATAAGAGGAAGTGGAGATGGCGGAGAATGCTGAAGAAAAAAAGTTGGAGGTTTCAAGCGCTGTGCTGCAGAGGTCAAAAAAGCAAAGTTGGAAGCTTTTGTGAATGATAGTTGAGGCTATAAAACACTAGGGAAATTCTGGAAGCTGCAAATGCAGATGTACAGATCGGCCTATGACAGTGGGAATAATTTGTAGAGACAATGATGTGCGTATTACAATAGACAAAAAGAAAAGTTAGGCTTTTTTCAAAGGTTTATAGCTCAAAAAGATCATAATGATATAGACATCAGGGGTGCAGTTTGAGAGGATTTAGCTGGCACCTTGAAGAATATGCATTATGAATCATGATACGAGTAGAAGATATCAAACAATTATTTTTAAAGGAAAAAGACACTGCACCATGGCTGAATGGGGTCAGGTATGGCCACATAAAGGCTTTGAGCGATGTAGACCTGCCAAAGATGACCGACTGCTTTAACCAGAGCATTAAGACAGCATCAGTACCGCAGGACTCGGTGCAAGCTATCTAATCCCACTGGCAACACTTTTTAAGGATTATTCTAAGCTCAGTGGCTTTACAATCATCTCCTCACATAACACATTTAGGAAGGTCTTGGAAAAGATAGTTGCTGTAAAGCTGCAAGACTTTTTGGAGAGGAGGAAGCTTCTGCTAAGAATTCAGGGAAGCTACAGGCCAGGAAAGGACACATGGGCAAATGCTGCCACTTTTGCTTTTGAAGTCTATGAATGGTGCCAGAACAAATAGGAAACTATGGTGGTAGCACTGGATGTCTGGGATGCATATAACAGAGCAAGATATGACATCTTGATGACTGCACTGAAGGAGAAGGAGATCAGTGCATGGCTGGTGAATTCGGTTGCAGCTGTCATGGGTTCACGTCGGGTTGCTTTCCGATTGGGCTCATGGACCTCAAAACAATGTAGTTTGGCCCCAGGATTGCCACAGGGATCCGCCATCTCGCCTGTGCTGTTTAACGTGTATACGAGCAAGATTGCAAGCCTAGAAGCACCAGGAGTTGGAAGGATACTGACTTTTGCGGATGATTTACTGGCATATAGGCAGGGGAAGATAGGGAATAACACACGAGCTA